CCCAGCGAGGAGTGGCCAGCACTATAAAAAGAGCTGCCTGCCTCATTCTTCGCCAGATCTCCACTGGCTGCAATGCGTGGAAGTGCTGGTGCACTTGTGAGCTGAGTCAGGAGGAGCAGCGCTGGAGGAGAAGATGCGCTGGAGGGAGGAAGATGCCTGTACGCTGGAAGTGATGCAGCCATAGCTGCCCAGCGAGTTAGCATTAGTAGTAGAGGGTTAGTATGTAGCTACGAGTAGTATCCAGAGTAGATCCTCATGAGTATTGAAGAGTGTGTATGGATCATAGGAGGAAGGGATTGAGGCTGAGAGTGTTCATTCAAGGTTGGCTATGGAAGATACTTACCTGAGTTGGATGTGACCTGCAAAGGTGGCGCTGATAAGTGGTGACCACATTGATGACTTGGAGACTATCTGCAGGGGTAGCACTGATTCACTGGAAGGCATATTGATGAGTTGGCAAGATATTGGTGTTGCGCTGATGAGCGCTGGACTCAGGGGAACTTTGAAACATTTTGTATTCATATTTCTGATAATATAAACTGTGAAACTCGGTCCTCATCTTCTCTATCTTTGTCTATTGTCAGACTACTGTTCATTGTGTGTGGGAGTACGATGCATGGCATGTACACACTTGCGTGAGATGGTCCCCAGGACCCATGCAGAATGGTGATGTTGCATGTATTGTGAAACATTCTGGCAAGACGTGGTCGGTCAGGACCCGTGCACTAACTTCGGCCAATCAGAGAAAATATGGTTCGGGATGGTATGCAAGGTCACACAATGGGCCATATGGAAGGAGAGATGCAGCAGAACTCTGGATGGCATAAAGAACCCACGGGAGAAAGTGTGGGCAGCAACCAAAGAGATGATTGAAGCGGAAATCCTTTGTCATTGGAGAAAGGTTAAACTCTGGCTGCAGAACAATCCAGAGACAGAACAGGTGACAATTAAATTCAAGCAGATCTGGTTGGTAGGTGACAAAGTGGCATGGCTGATTGGGCACGTTTTACGATGGAAAGAATGGCACAATCTGGTCAAGTTGGTATCCCAGCAGAACACCCAGGTACGTGAGGAACCAGCCCCAAATCTGGTCCTAGAAGAGCATCCAAGATACATGCGCGACAGGCGGCAGCCGATGTTTCACATGGAACACATGGGAGAGGATTAATCTTCCAGACCTTTCTTGTTTAGGGTTTAGGGTTTAGGGCTGAGGGTTTGGACAGAAACAAGACAAGCAGGGGTCAGAATGGTAAGGATTTCACGCTGCTTATTTGAGGGCCTTAGGGTTTAGACAGCATTGGCTGCAGTTGTAGCTTCTCAGACCTTTCTTGGATTGCATGTTTTATCTGACAGGTTCTTATAGTAGTCCTGAGAGGAAAGGTGTAAGCAGGGCAAGCTGACAGTCAATCCTCCACGCGGCTGGAGGAATCAATGCTGGTCAGGGTTCCTTCAGCCAGACGGAAGGAAGAGTGTGGGTGTTCTATGCTGTAATATTTTCCTGACTTGCTCTTTGTAATGTGTTTGGGATAATATAAGCTGCGCGACTTGGTTCTCATCTCATCCCCATTCTGCGTTGAGTGTGTTGAGTCATAACCTGTGTGAATGGTGATGTTGCATGTATTGTGAAACACTCTGGCAAGACGTGGTCAGTCAGGACCCTTGCAAACTTGGTATCGGAGCAGAAGCTTGCTGCACTCACTGCGCTGGCATGAGTAAGGCCGGCGAGAAGAAGGAGAGAACGCTGGCTTGAGGATGATGCTGGCGATGGTGGAGTTGTGAGACAGAGGTGGATTGGGATTGGGGAAGAAGTAAGCCGAAGAGGAAGGGGCAGAAGATTACTTACCTGGAGTGTTGGAGTGCGGAGCGACGAGGAGCTTCATCGACGGCCGCTTCAAAGAGAGAAGAACCTCCATACCCCCTTACCTGGCTGTTTGTGTGTACTCTACTTCCTTCCCTCTCTGGTGGTCGCTGCTGCTGCTGTCTACCCAAGGTCTGGTCTGGAAGTCAGAACACAAGTGCTTGGTCACATTAGAGGTAGTAGTGGTCAGGGTCCTGTTGGTCCTCTCTTCTACCCCTCTAATCAGATATCTGTAGGAGGTAGTAAAGGTGGGGAACACTGGTGGTAGTGGCTGATTGCCACGTCAGATTGCAGAAACGACATAAGGTATAATTAACTGGTCTGAAGTAGCATTGGGGATCCAAGCATCGTCTACGCATCTGACAAGTACATACTCCAGTGCTCCCTGCGCAAGAGGACAGGCAAGCAGAGTTAAAAAAAAAAAACAATAAAAAAAAAAACCATCCAGATCAGTCAAAGGAAAGAGAAGTATTAACTGGTTGGAGACAGACAGCATGTAAAGACAGTTCTAGTGGGTTCCTTGTTATCTGAAATTCGTTATTGTGAAAGCAGCGATTCTCAGAATTCAAAAAAAAAAAAAAAAAAACACAGTATCCCATCTACTTCAGGTAGTGTGAGTTCTGGGGGATAGTCTCTTGGTGGACCAGCGGAGGACCACCTGTGCTGTCATCCACCATGGATGACCATCCCATGCAGGGAATTCTGGCCCTCTCTGTTTTGTTGGGCCCTCTCTTCAGGCTCTTCTTTCCACTGGGCTTTGGCCGGGTATGCTCCTCCCGTATGATGATGCGGTCTGGGGGTATAAAGCCAGGGCTCACGCCTGCAGAACAGGCAGAAATCAATCGCCGGCAGGCAGATAAGAAAAAGGAGAAAGAAGAAAGAAAGAAAAAGAAAGAAGAGGAGATGAAAAAGAAGACGTAAATGGAGGAAGAAGATCTGAAGAGGAAGCTGAAAGAGAAGATGGAAAAAGAGTTAGAAGAAGAATTGAGGCATATAGAAGAAGAAGAAGAGGAAAAGGAGGATGAAGGAGAAAAACTGCAAAGGCGCCGCAAAGATGTGCCTGAAAGCAGCCGCGCTGGGGGGAAAAGAGTGCAGATTGCGCCGCTGGACTGGTATGATCAATATTCATACACCAGCGACCAATTGCAAGAATCAGAAGAAGAAAGGGATGCGTTCATTGCAGAGTTGGCATCCATTGAGGATCAAAGGGAGAAGGACTAGCTATTGCAAGAAAAAAGGGCCGAGTTGCATAACAAGATGCTTGCAGCGAAAAGGCAAGAGCTAGATGCAAGGAAAAGGCTGCAAGAAGAGGGGGAGCGGTTGCAGAAGGAGATATAGGAACAAAAGAAAAACCAAACCGCCACGGAAGAAAAACTCGCTCTCCTAACAGAAACAGTCCTCCATACAAAAGAGGAGGTTGCAGAAAATCGAAACGCATCAGTACGAATTCGAGGGAGTTTGGAATGCGTTTTGCAGAAGTCAGCACAGGATGTCGACAAACATATCCAGTCCTACATAGTCAAGTTAGATGAACACATCAATGAAACCTTCACTCCGGAAGTTATTGAGAAGATAGTCCGAGGCAGCAGCGGAGGAGGAGGTGGAGATGGTGACGGAGATGGGGGAGATGGAGATAAGAAAAAGAAGGGAGTGCAGCGAGAAGAAGAGTCAGGGGATGTGAGAAAGATAAAGCTAAGACTTCCATGGACATATAATGGGAAGAAGGAAGAAGGTATGTTGCATTGGATTGCAGCGGTCGAGTCCTATGTCTATGGACAACGGATCCCTTATTGGGACCGGGTGCTGATGGCAAGTTCTTGCATGGGAAGAGATGCCATGAGTTTCGCAATCTCCCTGCAAAAGGAAGCAGGTTGCGGATCCATGGTGGAATTCTCTCAGCAAAAAAGAGAGGACAACGGGGAGGACGAGCGAGGTTGAAGAGGAGTTGGGACGACGAGGGGCAACGAGGAGGACGAGCGATATAAGAGGACAAGCCATATCGAAGAGGAGGGCGAGGGGCAACGAGGAGGAGGACGAGTGATATCGAGGAGGTTGAGGAGGAGACGGGGGAGGAAGGGAGGCGAATGAGATGCCTACCTTCATTGATTGAATGCATGAATGATTGCAGTCGTGTATAAATGTTTTTGAGCTTTTTTTCTTTTTTCGTTGTCCTGCAAACGCGTTTCGGTTCGTCAATACTTTTTGCCAAGATTTTGGCGTGATGTTGCTGAATGATTGATTGATTGATTGGTTGATTGATTGATTGATTCGTTGATTGATTGATTGATTGATGGATTGATCGAATGATTGATGGATTGATTGATTGATTGATTGATTGATTGATTGATTGATTGGTTGGTTGGTTGGATTGGTTGGATTGGTTGGATTGGTTGATTGTTTGATGGATCGATCGATCAACCAGTCAATCAATCAATCATTTCATTCTTTGTCGTCATTCAATTAGTTTTTAGGACCTTGCTGAGGGAACTGAATAGTCGATGCTGCTGTTCATTGAGGTGGGATTAACGGACCCCATGTGGGGTGGGCAAATGCTACCCATTTTTTTTCAGGAGGGAATGATTCGTCAATGCCGCCGTCAATGACCCTTTTTTTTCTCGCCTGCTGTGGGGAACGGAACTGCCGGCACTGTCATCTTTGTCATCTGATCTCGTGGAACTTCCCAACCCCACATGGGGTGGCGAAATGCTGCCCGTTTTTAACCTTGCCTTCTGTGGGGAAAGGAACAGTCGGCTTTGTTATCTTTGTCCCCGTGGCGGGTGGCAAAATGCTGCAGTCAATCAATCAATCAATTAATCGATCAATCATTCGACCAATCAATCAATCAATCAATCAACCAACGAATTGATTGATTGATTGACTGATTCAATGATTGATTGATTGATTGATTGATTGATTGATTGATTGATCGAGTGATTGATTGATTGATCGCATGATTCATTGATTGATTGATTGAGGTAGGGATAGGGGGTGGTAGAGAAAGGGGGGTGGGTGGGAGGGGGATGACCGACTCTGACAATGTCATGGTTGTTCTCAGTTTCCCGTCTTCTTTGCCTCCAGGATGACGAAGAATGGTACCCAGTCTGTCAAGAGGCACTACACGGACTTGGGCTTCATTGGAGAACCAAAGAAGGGGAACAAGAAGCGGCGATGCAATTATTGCGACCAGATGATGTCTGGCACTGCAACCAGAGCCAGACGACACACCATGATGTGCTGATTTAAAAAAAAAAAAAAAAGTCGGTCCGGACATTTTTTGCGGACCGGGGCACCGGTCCGGACGGTCCGGGTCCGGTACTGTCCGGTACTGTCTGGTACTGTCCGGTACCTGTCCGGATTACCGGACATCTGGACCGGTCCAGACAAATGTCCGGGCGTCAGTCCAGACATGTCCGGGTCCGGGTCCACGGTTGCCATGGCGAGAACACATTCGCCGTGCTACGCAGATTATCACCATTTAATTGTAGTTGAAACAGTTTTCACCTTTGGCAGTAGCCAATGCAGATCCCAGGGGTCGATCCCTTGACCTCAGCTTACCTGTGTACAGTATCTGCACAGTTCCCTGGAGTTGAACCCGTGACCTGCACGATAGCCAGTGGTAA